TGTAGATAACTTGACACCAGATACGAATTAAAACGCATCAACCATGTGTGTAGCCGTGATGGTCTCTTTTCGGCGGAGTCCGGGAAGTGAACACGGTCTTTGTGTTATGTTTGACGTAAGTAGGAGTTCAGGATCACTTCTTGATCATTGCTAGTTGACGACCGTTCCATTTGCTCTCTTCTCGCTCTTATTTGCGTATGTTAGCCACCACATCATGCTTAGTCGCTGCTGCAGCCTCACCACTTTACCCCTTCCTTTCCCTTTAAGCTTTGCTAGTCTTGATACCCATGGTAATGGGATTGCTGAGTCCTCGTGGCTCACAGATTACTACAACAACAGTTGCAGGTACAGGTTTTGTGATGATCATGACGCGAGAGCGATGTTTGCTTGTCTTGGAGTTCTTCTTCTGCTTCTTCGATCAGGGGATAGGTTCCAGGTCGGCAGCCTGGGCTAGCAGGGTGGATGTCGTTTGAGTTTATGTTTGTGTTTCATCCGTAGTCGGATGATGCTCTTATGTATTGTGATGTTGTATTCGTGTGGCATTGTATGCCCTTTGTATGTATCCCCATCTATTATATAATGTTGATGTAATGATATCCACCTTGCAAAATCGTTTCAATATGCGGGTCTATCCTTGGTGGGACCTTCGAGTTCCTTTTGGATAGGGTCGCATATTGGGCGTGGCATACCCCTTGTGTTCGTCATAGCGATCCTTGCAGAAGTAGGGGTGATAACTCCATATGAGGGCACTAAACCTGGGTACGTCTCTATGTCCATTAGTGCTCATGCCCAATCCTGCATCTGAACATCATCGATGCACATGGGCCCCTAACCACACGATATAAGCCACCTCCATGGCATCTGTCATGCAAATGCCACAACATATCATAAGTAGCAAGGGTGCGCACAAATGATCCCGTGCTTTTGGTGGCACTGCTACTTTTGTCTTTGTATTTGTGATGAGGCGGTTCTCCTCCCAGCAACAATTTCTTTCTCAAAAGATTTACATGCCATATCATATAGTTTACTGACGTGTAATATGTAGTAATGATCGTTGGAGATGCCCTTAGTTGCTTTAATCAAGTCTTCACAGGTCATCAAAATCCACTAGAGGACAATGGATTCACTTTCAAGAAGTGACTTTAATATATCCTTTCATGAAGAAAATGCTATGTACTAATCTAGTAGCCTATGAATAAATTCAATGTGCCAACTAGGCTTGTTGTGATTGGCTAGGAAAGGAAAATAAGAAGTTACCCCACTACCAACATATATGGTTTTACTACAAGAACCAACACCCAATCATAGTCGTTTTTTTGTGATTTGGCATATTAATTGAGTCCACTACTCCTTTGACGTTTACTGCTGCAATTAAACGAGGTTCAATAACGAAACACTTATGTACAAAAGTACCCAACCTTTGTGGTTTGTTTATGTAACCAATCATGATGTATTCGCCCAAGTACATTCTGGTATTTATGTCGAATGTGAGCATTGTCTATTAATCATGGGGGTAGTGTATATACTCACTAGGTTGTTCCTGTGCTTAAGTCATGTCACCTTAGCTGCTTATATTTACTGCAAAACTAAGATAACCTGATCAACAAACGAATAATTGGTGGGTGGTCCTTCCATGTTGTCCAGCTTTATGCGGCAATTGCTTTTAAGTTGTAGATGTCGTAGGCTTCCTTCTCACGTTATTTTTCTTTTCGTTTAGTCGGATGGTGTGTGTTGTGATCTCCTAGGGAAAGCTTCCCCATGCTAATTGGGCCCACTACTTCTTTAATGTTTACCACTGCAATTAAACGAAGTTCAATAACGAAAAGTTTTTGTACAAATGTACCCAACCTTTATGGTTTATTTATGTAACCAATCATGATGTATTCATCCAAGTACATTCTGATATTTATGTTGAATGTGATCATTCTCTATTAATCATGGGGGTAGTTATATACTCACTGGGGTGCTCATGTGCTTAAGTCGTGTCCCCACAACTGTTCATATTTACTGCAAAACTAAGATAGCCGGATCAACAAACGAATAAATTGACGGGTGGTCCTTCCATGCTATCCACCATATGGCGTAATTGCTTTTAAGTTGTAGACTTCGTAGGCTTCCTTTTCACGTTATTTTTTCATTTAGTCGGATGGTGTGTGTTGTGATCTGCTGGAAAAAAGACCCCCATTAGTGGAAATAAACATAGAAATGGCAGGCTCTCATGTCGTACAAAAATAAAAAAACAATTTTGAATAAAAATCAATATAATTCACAATAACACACAAGACCATCCCATTACCATAGTAGGAAATGCCACATCCATTTCCCTTTTTTGGAAATTGACCACCAATGGTGGCTCATCTTGTAAACTTTCCCTTCAATTCTCAATTGTTCTCATCTACGTACTTCTAACTTAATTATTTTAGGGACATGCATACAAGGTGACTAGCAGTAATGAGCACAACGTCATGGGAGCCTGTGAATCACTTTCAACCATAAAGGGGGAACCATATTTCTAACTAAACTTCAAAAATATTCGTAAAAAACCAATGTGATGCCACTTTCAACCAAAATTTAGTAACCAAAAATCTACAAAAAAATTTGACTCGGTCATTTAATTTTGTATAAAGTTCAGATGGCTTAAAAAACATTCATGCATTTCTAACTGAAATTTGTCACAAAAATTCTTACGGCTTTCAACTGAAGAAAAGGAAACCGAAAGATGTGGCCAATCCTACCTTAGAGATGGCTTTAGCAAGGCATGCTCATGGTAATGGGACAAGTATAGCCTCCCAAGGTTGGTAAAGAGTGCATGTTGAAATTACCATCATCATAAGAACCATGGACGCGACCCCCCACCCCCCACCCCCCACCTACATGATCCCATATTACTAGAGAGGAGGGGACATCATCAAGGAGACATGGAAGATGTTGGTGTGTCGATGACCTTGTTGTGGGTGGCACAAATACGTGACATGATAGACACGAGAGAATTCGTAAGATGGTGAAAATCACTAGAGATTTGGTGGGACAAGGTATTAGATTTTCTTAGGTGTGGTTTGAAAATTTCAAACCAAGCTTGTCTATTATGTCTTAATTAAACATTGTGTCATGCAATCGTTTAAGCGAAGTTCCATTTTTCTCCAAAAATACAACTGGCCAAAACAACGACTTCATTTACCATCGCTACCCTCTACCCATATCCAATCCTTGATCCCATCCATCCTCGGATCACAGCTCCTACACTGTGATGGAGGGGAAGGGATCCTCATCTCTCATCTGATGTGTAGGGAATGTTATTTGGTTAGTTTTTGGTGTCATGGTGACATCACAATGATGGTGACAACTCCAATACTGTCTCGGTGGTGTTTGGTCAGGTGTTGCCAAGGACATTGTGATTATTTTTTGTTCTCGTTGACCTTTTTGGACGACATTGTGGTTCTTTCTGCTATATTTTCGTGAGGCATCATTGACCGCGGTCATCTTCTTCGACAACCCTTTCCGTCGAGCCTTTGCGAGCAATGTCAGTGGCCTAGTTTGGCAATATGAGTGTCGTTGCCTTTCTAGATCCCCCATGCTAATGTTCTTGGCATGATTGCTAATATTTGTTATACACGACCGACCGCCTACCATTGCGAACATTCAAGATGTGTTTCTGTAGAGGTCTTCACTGACTCAGATTCTCGATGTTGTTCTCCGCTTGCGAGATCTAGGTGGGGCAACGACAACGAGTTTGGTTACGGTTTGGCTTGAATTTTACGGCCTACAGTGTTGGATAGAATTCCATTTGTTTATGGTTAATTCTATGCTTGTGGGTTTAGTTACCTCGTTATTTGAATGTATTCGCTATTTTCTTTGTGATATAAGATAGAACTAATTTTAAAAAGAATTATGCTAGTCAATAGTGATGAGGCAATTAAGCTACATATGTACATCAAAAACAGTACGACAGATCCACTAACTATAATATGCACAGAAGAATTGCGTATGAGTCTTGTATCTTCTTTCATCATTTATTTTCCATGGAATATAGGTGACATGTTGTACGGTCTCACATGAACAGTCCTACATATTGCCCACTCAGCGCACAAGAGGAACGCTCGAACTTGTCGTGTGTGTGCGAACAAAATAAATATAACTTTTCAATTTCCGTGCTTCAAGATTTTCACATGATGATCGAGTTTGAATAAGTATGACACACTACAAAAAAATCAGCTGATGATCGAGTTTGCATAAGTAAGAAACAGGCTACAAAAAGAAAGTAAGACACAATTCATCGTTTTTTTTTCAGGAAAGGACCTGGTTCATGTTCATTTTATTTTTTTGAGGGAAAGGACCTGGTTCATCAGTCTTAGCTGTCCTGGCAACGGAGCTAGTTCAACATAAGTCGAGCCTGTGCTTCTATATTTAGCATCAAACGTAACCAAGAGTTAACTTATAACAAAACTAATGATCATGCTATCTAAGACACGAAGCTAATGGATCGGTGTACACTTGCACAACAGGATGGCCTTATGACGATCGTGCGGCTGGCAACACTGCCCCCATGCAAGGCCAACACTGCCTCAGCCCGCCCAAACTATTCGAACGGGAGGAAAACATAATTCATTGTGCTTGGATTTGGCAATTGATTACAAGATCACGTAGTATCCCGTTTTCTATCTCGTCGTGTGTCTACTACCAGGCCGCGCATTGATATTAGATATCGAAGTTAAATGCCGATTTTTTTTAAATAAATACCTTTTTTTATTGCGATGAAGGGGTAAATACCATTTTTTTCTGCGGTGGGCGGAAAATACAGCCAAAAGTGGTATAATAAACCGCGACGGTGGATTTGAAAAACCGGCGGCGCTCTGAGCCCACAATTCAGAGCGGAAAAACCCCCCCAATGTGTAAAGTGTATTCCTCCGAGCATCTATAAAAGGCCATCTACCTAGGAAACAAATATTCACCAACACCTAACAAAGATTTGCTTTTGTAGAATACTTTACAATACTTCCGCGATGGTTGGAGAGGTTGGCAAGTGGGGTAGTTCCTTCAAACATTCGTGGGCTTTAATCCCACTGGTATGAAAACATTCATAGTAGTTGGCTTCTTTTTATGAAACTCATGGTTAATACTTGTTCTTCTATATGAACTTCATGGCTATTCTCTTCCTTCAAAAAAAACTCCATGGCTTTTCTCATTTCTTGGTTCTTGTCCTTCCACCTACAACTATTGCTTACCTGAGCGGAAACTAGATCTGCGAGGTTATCATCTGCTTAAGCTTTTTTTGAGGGATTCATCTTGCCTAAGCTTAGTGCAACAAAGACATCCTTCCGCATATGTGGAGATGTGATCTCGAAAATAGATCTATGTAGTGGTACGGTATTCTATTGGAAAAAGAGGATTACCCCCGTCTCTTGGCATAGGCGTGAGGTTCAAAAGTAATTCTAATGATTTGTGTCTTACAATTAAATTTTGTTTCGTACGATATAGATATGTTCCTATGCCTGTAAGGCGCAGATTTGAAAAGTAGATCTAACTGATTTTTATCGTTTCTGTTTCAGTTATGTATATTACAGATATCATCCTGCACGTGTCAGGCATGCGAGATCTCTTTCTTTAGATAACAATGAAAACTATATCTTCATAATTTTTCATCTTGTAATTGAAGATTCTGCTCCGTACAAGCCGGATATCCTCCCACGTGTGTTTTAGGCATGGATTCAAAAAGTAAATATAATTTTATTTTATCTTGTAATTAGGAATCCGCTCCGTACAATATTAGTATCCTTTCACTTGTGTAAGACGTGCTCTAAGAATACATCTATGCAGGTTTTAATATATAATTTGGCTTCTGCTCCATACATCACATATATCTCCCCACATCTGTGAGGCAGTGGCGAGCCGAAGATCTACCTTTTGTCGTATGCTCCTATATTGTTTTTCTGGACGCCGTGTGTTAGATCTACCCATGGAATGTCACGACAAATGTTGTCGTTAGATGAGCCCAAAGGCGATCTGTTAGCAAGATGTCACGACAAATTATATCTTTAGATTAGTGAAAACCCTCGAAATCTTGACTTATTACTTGTGGAACAAATGTTACCGTTAGACGAGTTGAAACACGTTGCAACGCCGCTTGTCGAGGCCTCGTCAGCCTAAAAGACAGTTTAATTTATTAAAAATACACTTTAATTTAATAATTATGCATTTTCTATTTTATTTTTTACATGTTGCAAATATATTTTTCTGACGTCACACTTTTATTGCACTTGCACCCATGCAGGTTGCCCATGGAATCATCGTGATCGTAGTGGCTCTCGCTTACTCTTTCATCTCGTCGCACATAAATGATGATGCCACGAGCGCCATGGACGCGTCGCTGGCGCACGTCGCCGCCGGTGTGCAGCCGCTCGTGGAAGCCAACCGCTCCGCCGCCGTCGTCGCACACTCTCTGTTCATCCCCAGCAACGAATCATCTTATTTCCGATACGTAATTAACCGAGCACCTTTGCGTTAAATTGAAATATGTTTCTCTTTTCTCTGTATAACGTGATTAATTTCATCAAGTATATGCATTTCCTTTTTGAACCACAATTATTTCCTTACTTTAAATAACAAATCTTTTTGGGGGGAATTAAATAACAAATCTTAATTACTAGCCGGGCCGACCCAGTAACTAGTTATTGCGTATGATTCTCTTCTGATTTTCGTAATAATACGAGCATTGATATGAATATTCGCATGCATATACAACAAATAATTTTTGCGTACCCTTTTTTATGCAGTACACGTCCAAAATAACATATCAACACGTACGTGCAAATATACATCTAACATTTACATGTATTCTTGACCTGACAGGTGGGACCGTATATGGTCATGGCGTTGGCCATGCAGCCGCAGGTGGCCGAGATATCATACGCCAGCGTGGACGGCGCCGCGTTGACGTACTACCGCGGCGAGAACGGCCAGCCGAGAGCCAAGTTCGTGAGCGAGAGCAGCGAATGGTACACCCAGGACGTTGATCCTGTGAACGGCCGTCCCACCGGCCGCCCCGACCCGGCGGCTCAGCCGGAGCACCTACCCAACGCGACGCAGGTCCTCGCCGACGCCAAGAGCGGCTCGCCCGCCGCCCTCGGGGCCGGGTGGGTCAGCTCCAACGTCCAGATGGTGGTCTTCTCCGCGCCTGTCAGTGACACTGCCGGCGTGGTCTCCGCCGCGGTCCCCGTCGACGTCCTCGCGATCGCCAACCAGGGCGATGCCGCCGCCGATCCCGTCGCGCGGACGTACTACGCGATCACCGACAAGCGTGACGGCGGCGCCCCGCCAGTTTACAAGCCTTTGGACGCCGGGAAGCCCGGCCAGCACGACGCGAAGCTGATGAAGGCCTTTTCCTCGGAGACCAAATGCACCGCGTCCGCCATTGGCGCGCCCAGCAGCAAGCTCGTGCTCCGCACCGTCGGGGCGGACCAAGTCGCGTGCACGAGCTTCGACCTCTCCGGAGTAAACCTGGTAACGTGTCCATCTAGCATCAATCACAGGCCATCCATATATGCATACGTACACGAACGTGCACACACCCTATATATCTAACATAATTGCTCTGCATTTTGGTCAAGACTTAATCCCAGCATGTAATATTTCTTCCAAGTATGCTGTTTATACATTCAAGCAACTGACAATGAAAAAAGGTTAGATGAGCTAAGGGGACTTCGGCAAAAAAAACTAATAAAACGTTTTTTGTTTTGGCGACCTCAATAAACATCCTTCCGACTTGGAGTGAGGAAAGAAAATCAGGGAACGCTCCGCTATGGAAAGTGGACGTACATGATCTTTCTTCCTTCCTTCCTTTGGCATGTAAAAAACTAAAACCTTTCCAAATCAAGGTGTCCCAAAATTAGGAAGAAAATCTTAATGGAGAGTACAAAGTCTTCTTCTTCCTCTTCTTCCCCAAAGCAAGATTTCTCCTTCTGTTCTTCCCCAAACGGAGCTCTGGCACAAAACTGCGGTGAGCTCGATCGTCTCCTACGTACTTTTCTTGCATCTGCTAGTGCCTTGCATGCATATCACCGATTGTCGTTCATGTATATCTCTCCTCAGTTCTTTTGCAATTTATTTACAGCGTAGAGAGCAGTTTAGACTACGTAGTAAATCACCATTGAAACTGATCTTGCCATCCGTCGCCTATGCAACGAGCGCAGGGGCTGCGCTAGCTTGATAATTCTCCGACCAGGCCGGGCGGCGCCTCGCGCGCCATGGAAACAGTCTTTTTTTTTTTTGATAAAGGCCATGGAAACAACCTGGCGTACAGCCTCTTGATAAAAAAAAATATTTTCTTCGTAGTATAAGCACGCATTTGCATGTTTGAGAATTTTTATTGGGACGGCTAACAAGTATCTCCGGTTGTATTTCTTCTTGTTTTTCAGGGTGTTCGTCTTGTGGTCAGCGACTGGAGCGGGGCAGCCGAGGTCCGGCGGATGGGGGTGGCCATGGTGAGCGTCGTGTGCGTGGCCGTGGCGGTCGCGACGCTGGTGTCCATCCTTATGGCACGGGCGCTGTGGCGGGCCGGGGCACGGGAGGCGGCTCTAGAGGCTGACCTCGTGAGGCAGAAGGAGGCGCTCCAGCAAGCGGAGCGCAAGAGCATGAACAAGAGCAATGCCTTCGCCCGCGCCAGCCACGACATCCGCTCCTCACTCGCTGTCGTCGTTGGACTCATCGACGTTTCCCGGATAGAGGCCGAGAGCAACCCCAACCTCAGCTATAACCTCGACCAGATGAACATTGGCACCAACAAGCTCTTCGGTCAGTCTACCATGCATGGCAATACCATGAATAGCTTGTGCTACCTTTTAGTAGATCTATCCGTACTTGGTAATTTAGCAATGTGATCATAGCATTATAAATTTGCATGTCATAGAAGTAAAATTTTCGTAAATAATTTAATTACTGTTTTAGGTGTAGAAGTGTGCAATAGCCCACCTGTTATACATTTAAGGTATCAAATTTGCTCATAAAATTTAAAATATGCAAGAAGTCAATCTCTGTTTGGTAAAGAAATAGCATTTTATTTGTAAAAATTAAAGTTTAGGATAGTTCAAATAGAATTGTCAGATATCACTACGTTAGCAACCAGTAAACTTATAAAGTTTCAATATTTCTATCGATTTTGCTGTTGGGCAAATTTTGTCACATTTACGCATCATATTGTTTGTGCGTGTCTTCGAGTGCATAAAGCAAAAAAGTTTATTATTTCCCAAAAATGAACTTTATACCATCTTTGTGTTCTCAGTTGAGCATATGTTGGCTCATCCTCCATGTTTATACATGTGTATGTGTACATGCAGATATACTTAACACGATACTGGACATGGGCAAGGTGGAGTCCGGGAAGATGCAGCTAGAGGAGGTGGAGTTCAGGATGGCAGACGTCCTTGAGGAATCCATGGACCTGGCGAACGTCGTCGGCATGTCAAGAGGCGTCGAAGTGATCTGGGACCCTTGTGACTTCTCCGTGTTGCGGTGCACCACCACCTTGGGCGACTGCAAGCGTATCAAACAGATCCTTGACAACCTACTTGGCAACGCCATCAAGTTCACACACGAAGGCCACGTCATGCTTCGGGCATGGGCCAACCGCCCCATCATGAGGAGCTCCGTGGTCAGCACCCCATCGAGGTTCACCCCCCGTCGCCCCGCGGGTGGGATCTTTCGGCGGCTGCTTGGAAGGAGGGAGAACCGTTCTGAACAGAATAGCCGAATGTCCTTACAAAATGATCCGAATTCGGTTGAGTTTTACTTTGAGGTGGTTGACACTGGTGTGGGGATACCCCAGGAAAAGAGGGAGTCCGTGTTTGAGAACTACGTTCAAGTGAAGGAAGGGCATGGTGGCACCGGGCTCGGACTTGGAATTGTGCAATCCTTTGTAAGTGATCTCGTCTTTTTTCGTGCATGATAAAATCTTGTCAACTGCATCAAAGAAAAGTACTATCTCCATTCCAGACGTTTGAATGGAGGCAGTATATTTTTCACTAATGTTTTCGTTTTTTCTTGTTTACTTAGTTTTGTTTGCTGTTGTTGTTGATGTAAATAAAGGTTCGTTTGATGGGAGGAGAAATCAGCATCAAGGACAAGGAGCCAGGAGAAGCGGGGACGTGCTTTGGCTTCAACATCTTCCTCAAGGTCAGCGAGGCGTCAGAGGTGGAAGAGGACCTCGAGCAAGGGAGGACGCCGCCGTCGCTGTTCAGGGAGCCCGCCTGCTTCAAGGGCGGGCACTGCGTCCTCCTCGCCCACGGCGACGAGACACGCCGGATCCTGTATACATGGATGGAGAGCCTCGGGATGAAGGTCTGGCCCGTCACGCGCGCCGAGTTCCTCATCCCGACCCTCGAGAAGGCGCGCTCCGCCGCCGGCGCCTCGCCGTTGAGGTCGGCGTCGACGTCGTCGCTGCATGGCGTTGGGAGCGCCGACTCCAACATTACGACGGACCGGTGCTTCAGCTCCAAGGAGATGGTCAGCCACCTGCGGAACAGCAGCGGCATGGCCGGCAGCCACGGCGGGCACCTCCACCCCTTCGGCCTGCTCGTCATCGTCGACGTCTCCGGCGGGAGGCTCGACGAGGTTGCCCCCGAGGCGGCGAGCTTGGCAAGGATCAAGCAGCAGGCGCCGTGCAGGATCGTCTGCCTGACGGACATCAAGACCCCCTCCGAGGATATGAGGAGGTTCAGTGAGGCGGCAAGCATCGACCTCAACCTGCGCAAGCCCATCCATGGCTCCCGGCTGCACCAACTCCTCCAGGTCATGAGAGACCTCCAGGCCAACCCGTTTACACAGCAGCAACCACATCAGTCCGGCACGGCCATGAAAGAACTGCCGGCTGCTGATGAGACCTCTGCGGCGGAGGCGTCTTCTGAAATCACGCCCGCGGCGGAGGCGTCTTCTGAAATCACTCCCGCGGCGGAGGCGTCTTCTGAAATCACTCCCGCGGCGGAGGCGTCTTCTGAAATCACTCCCGCGGCGGAGGCGTCTGAAATCATGCCGGCAGCACCGGCGCCAACTCCCCAGGGACCGGCCAATGCTGGAGAAGGCAAGCCGCTGGAGGGGATGCGCATGCTGCTGGTCGACGACACCACGCTGCTGCAGGTAGTCCAGAAGCAGATACTGACCAATTACGGGGCAACCGTGGAGGTCGCCACGGACGGCTCCATGGCCGTGGCCATGTTTACAAAGGCTCTTGAGAGCGCAAATGGCGTCTCAGAGAGCCATGTGGACACAGTGGCCATGCCCTACGATGTCATCTTCATGGATTGCCAGGTACATTTTTCTCCAGCAAACAACGTGCCAAGCACATCGTCTTCTTCCTGAAGATGATTTAATCTGACGTTGCTGACAATTCGATCTTCTTGTTTCAGATGCCAGTGATGAATGGCTACGATGCTACGAGGCGCATCCGCGAGGAAGAAAGCCGCTACGGCATCCGCACCCCGATCATCGCGCTGACCGCGCATTCCGCGGAGGAGGGGCTGCAGGAGTCCATGGAAGCAGGGATGGATCTTCACCTGACGAAGCCCATACCCAAGCCGGCAATCGCACAGATTGTTCTAGACCTCTGCAACCAAGTTAATAACTGATCGCCGAGATCCATCGTTCCCCACTCCCCCGCCGCATGATCAAAAATCGAGATAGGTGTAGGTGGTTTTTCAGCGAGCGAATGCGGTTATCATCCTAGTCACTGAAAAACCACCTACATCTCTGAGTTTCGATCATGCGACCCGGGGCATCATCGTAGTTTGTAGCATTTAGCAGCAGCAGCTGAACTTTGTTGTTGTATCAAAATCAGGTCAGGTTTATTTCCAGAATTGCTCTTGGACAATGTATTGTCAATTTTGAATTTCCAGAAACAATTATGGTTAAGTTTTGAGTTCCAGAGTTTGTGTGTCAGAGTTCTTTTTTCCCAGAGTTTGTGTTTTCAGAGCTTGTGATTAGACGCCATATATTTGCTTCCATTGCCCATCCCAGGAGAAAGAAAGTACAGGTTGCTACAAGCCATGAAATCCCTAGCTAGCTACCCCAGATATCTAGTAGTGTACACAAGCATAGCTGATAAATACCCATAGGAATAACTGTACCATCTTCTCTAGGTATGTAGTGGACTAGCCTAAATATTACTAGGACTAGCTCTCATATGCAGGCACCAAGTGGGAAAAGTTCACACCCGAGGTCATTTTCCGTGAACGGCACTTCGTCGCTCTCCTGCGTTGAAATCGGAAAAGGGGTTCAGAAAAATCACCATCAAAATTCTAAGAACATAGGTTTAATAAATAACGATTTTAAAGGAAATATGACTGTCCTAAATAGTGAAATTTTAAGCATGACTGATGTCCTTACCACTTTTATCATGGAATTGAGAAGACCATCAAAGTTGCAGCTGCTAGAATTGAATCCACCCTGCAGCTTTGGAACTCCCAAATCGTACATATCGGTCTGCTCAGGCACAATGGCACCACCATCATAGCTAAAACCTCCACTGTTCAGTCTTTGGTCTTGTCTCATTCCACCATCCATTCTATGTCTAGAGTTGCTTGCAACCACAAACTGCAAGTATTTTGAATGTTTCTCGGTATCATGAGGAGGGAGCAGCATTGTACTACCACAAGAACTAGCTCCACATTTGGCATTGCTGGCTACTATAAGGCTCTCAGAAGGACAAACAGTAACAGCCATTCTTTCCGAAAATATCCCCTTTTGGTCCATCTCTTGTTCTCCAGCCACAAAGCTAGCATCAAGTTTTGTCGTGCCGGTACCATCGAACGGGATGTGCAACGGTAACTTGTCGACAGAAAACCCATCACTGATTGGAAGAGCACACTGCTGAGATATACAAGAATCCCGCAAATCGGCGGAAACTCCGACAGACCTTTCAAGCAGCCCTGAACTCCCAGTTGGTATTCCTATTGATGGATGGGCTCCAACTTTGATGTGTGCAGTGCACTCCAAAAGATCTTCTGGTGGCAGTGAACTGCTTGTAACTCTTTGAAGTGTGCCAGACATAGTGTTAGCCAGAGCACCCCCGGAAAAGACAGAGCACAAGTCACTGGTTTCTTGATGAATCCACTTCTGATGGAGCTGGGGCTGCCCAAGCGACGAGGTCAAGCCTTGCGATAAATCTGCCTGTTGGTTGTCTTGTAAGCTCACAATGTGGAACTTCTCCGTATCGCCGGCGCAATGACTTACTGCGCCGTTGCTGCTAGAACACTGGTTTGCCTTGGGAGAAGCAAGGTCCTGAAGCCCAAATGCTGCTGCACCAGCACCACTCAGCAGTCCATGTGGATTGAGAGATGGAAGAGCAGCAGGAGGGGCAAAGGGTTGATGATAACTATGAAGTCCTTCAAATGCTCCCATGTGCAAGAAGGGGTCTCTGCCTCCAAAAGCAGCAGCAATGCTGGCTTGCTGTGATGCCACGGCACTTAGCCGTCTGAGGTATAGCCTGTACTTCTGCATTGGCATAGAAAGTAACCTGATTAGACATGGAGGAAATTATGTAATCATCAGAATTCTGAAACATGAGATATACAGTCTTAAGATAACTGCTTCCTAGTTTGGTATGGAGATTCTTGCTGAACTGGTACATAAAAGCACTCCAGGATATAGAAAAATCTGATGAATTTTCTTAACCCTTTAATGTAGGCTTGTTAACAAAATTTCTATTTGTCAATTCATTGACATGCAAAGCTTTTGCATTTCTCTAAAAAAATATTTTAACCAAAAGGTGTACTACTACCTCCGTCTCAAAATATAAGACAGAGGTAGTACAACGCAGTTTACATATGTAGCTTTGTAATCTGTACAGGGTGGTGTCAGTGTCTTCCTTCTAGCAGTTTTATAGAAGTGAAACAATGTAGCCAAAATACTACATTAAACTCAGCAGTACATACCAAAACATCACATTAAACTTGTACAGCAGTACATACTGAAATACAACATTAACTTGTACAGCAGTGCATACCAAAATACCACAGTTAACTTGTACAGCAGTATTACCTAATTACTCTGCATTAAACCTGTACAACATTACATACTAATTTGAGCATTTTATACCTGTGTAGTTAGATCTAATCTACTAGTCTACATGGTTGGGGGAATAATCAGATATTTGTATAAGATATCTCCTTCTTCAGGTTTTCTGAAAGATTCAGTATAACTGAACTGAATGTTTCTTTGTTTTCAGACCAGCTGAACATATTCAACTTGTCAAGAAAAATGAAGAAATGTGAAGGTGAAACTATGTAACCGCAAAATTAAACTACTTAACTCATTTTGCACGAACACCAGGAACATGTTAACATATTTGTTAAAAGAGTTCTGCTGTGCAACACCATAATATCGAATTAAGCTCTGCTCTGCAACTAATAGGTGTGTCGGTACCAAATACAGTAAGGGGATAAGGACTCTGTATACGAATATCTTCTTTTTTAAAATTGTTCAAAAGTTGGCCCTCTTAATTCGACACAGGAAAATAAGGCCACTTTGCACATAATTTTACCAAAAGTTTCTGTAAAAGTTTTTCTTCCTGTGCACCACATGCTGATCAACGAAAGAGATAACACAGGTAAAGGCGATGATGGAAGTAAATGCCACGTCGCCATACCTGCAGATGGCTCGCAACATTTTCCCTGGTGAGCTTCTCCACGTTCATAAGCTCGAGTATTCGTTTGGGTACAGCCTCTGCGAACAGCAGCAAGAGAAAGGACACAAGCGTAAATGGGTTTGCTGCAGCCTGCAAGAACATTTAACATAAAGCAAAAGGCAACGTGGGGAGGTGTTTTTTCTTACTGTCGATCCCGAGCTGGTTGACGGCGGCGACGAACTTCCGGTGCAGCTCCACTGACCACACCACCCTCGGCTTCTTCGACCCCGCGGCGTCGTCGTTGTCCTCGCCTTCGTCTTCCTCCTCGCTGTGCGGCTCCTTCCGCTTCTTGCCGGCCCTGTTGCTCTGGTCGGACGACATGCCGCACGTCGCCTGGCCGAGCCGGTGGTACGAGTCCGCGCTCGGCGGCTTGCTGATCTCCTTGCAGAGGTCATGGTTGTTGTTCGGCTCACGGTTGCTGAACTTCCTCCTAACGACGTGCTGCCACACGTTCCTGAGCTCTTCGATCCGAACGGGCTTTAGGAGGTAGTCGCAGGCGCCATGGGTTATCCCCTTGAGCACAGATTTTGTCTCTCCGTTCACCGATAACACTGCACGAGTTGAATGGTGCCTCATTAACATCCATATTTTAACACAGTGACTCAACAACAAAGTACCCAAAAAAAATCAATGAAGGAAGTTGTGAACTTACTGATGACAGGGAGGTCCATTTCGAGCCCCACGAGCTCGAGGAGCTTGAAGCCGTCCATGTCGGGCATGTGGACGTCGCTGATGACCAGGTCAAACATGTCCTTGTTCTCCCTTAACAGCCTCAGTGCAGTGGCAGCCTGGTTGGTGGTTGTTACTGTTAAAGAGACAGCAAGCAGGTGCTCTTATATCAGTTTACAGTTGTTGTTGAAACTTGAAAGCAGAGGATGCATATAATAAGTATATCGCATCGCATTGTAAGAGTGTTAAAACATCTGTAAAATTTATGTCTATGATATGCATTTCAGAGCATGGCAGATTGTTTTACACTCTGCATGTGAAAACTCTTGCAGCTTCAGAAGCATTTAAGCAAGAGTAATTAGTACAGTGCAGATAGCAGAGCAAACTCTCTGGAACAGCCTCATATGACTGATAAGTGAAACCACAATTGACTAGCTGCAGGTGATACGACTAACAACAGAATGAAGTTTCTTATAAAAGAAGAAAGAGCATAATTAAGTGAAAGCAGGCACTGACCATGATACTGGCAGCGCCGGAGGAGGACCTCCAGAACCTTGAGGCGCACAGGGTCGTCGTCGACGGCGAGGACCCGCATGCCGACGGGGAACTGGTCCCTCTCCCTCTCCCTCTCCATCAACCCCTTCCTGGCCTCCATCATCATGGCGTCCAAGAGCATCCCAATTCGTGCCAATTCAGAGCAACTTGACGACAGCTTGTGAGCTAGCACCTCCTACCAAACCCTAAGGACAAAACTTCCCAATCGACCCAATCCCCAGCAAGAACGAGGCCTAGTTGGGCACAACCGAGCCAACTCTGAGAAGCTAATTAAGAGCAAGAAGAAAGGGAGCTTTCCTCGAGCGCTCGACAGTCACCAACACCACCTGAACTCAACAGAAGGGAAAGCTAGGGGACCCGAAAATACTCCCGGAAGAAGCTAAGATCAGAGGGAAAACTTGCCGGTGGATTTGTATCCCGGCACACCGGCGGAGATTGAGACGAGACTAGACGGGGTGGGGGGGAGGCCTTCAGGAACGAACCGGCCGCGGCGCCTCCATCATTATTGAGGCCGGGAAGGAAGAGGTTGGGAAAGCAAAAGGCCAAAGGAGAGGACACGGAACACAGAGGGAAAAAGAAAGGCAGAGGCAGGCAGACAGCGACACTCCGGGTGCCCAAGCGAGCAAGCAAGCCCTGCCCGTGCTCTCAGCTCAGCTCAGCCACACCGCAGCAAGCAACCGACGCAGGCAAAGGTAGAAGACGACGAGGAGGAGGAGGAAGAACGAAGAAGCAGCCAAACCACCGCAGCAGCAGCACGCTTGGTGAGGTGGGGATGGTGTTGTTTGGGGAGGTGGAAGGGGCGAGCAGTGCAGAGCGAGATGGCGATGGAAAGCAAAGTTTTGGACTGTTGGTGGCTGATTTTATAGGGGTCAGTCATCGGAGTGGAAGTGCTCGGGCGCAAGGCTACAGGATGATGAGCCCCTGGGACCCACCTGCCACAACCCTCCAATGGCACGGCAGTTGGGGGTGCTTGCTTGCTTGCTCCGGTTGTTTTTCCATTCCTGGTGATTTCATTTCTGCAGCATTGTTTTTTATTTTCACATTTACTGTGGGCTGAACTGATATCAAAAAGATGCAGAATGGTGATGCGAGAGAGCGAGAGAATATATGCTACTCCCTTTGTAAAACGTTTCTGAATTGAACTACAAAAAGCCATGAACGTTTGAAGCAATTTCTTAATATTTTTGTAGATTGTCTTGTATACCATTGAAAGGTGCTCTCTGCTCGCCGAGTGCTATTTTGGGCTCAGCGCAGTATATATAATTCATCTTCAGTCAGGCTCCGTGGGTGGTATCCCCGCGTACCCCCGCGTCGCCTGGGAGGCGACTCGGGGGAACCCTAGCCCGCCGCGCCGCCACCCTCTCTCCCCGGCTCCCCTGCCGCGCCGCCGCCGGAGGAAACCGCCGGGCGAAGCCCGCGCGGCGGACGGCGGCGGCGGGGCTTCCCGCTCGCGCGCGCGGCGTCGTTCCACGACGGCGACCGCTCCAGGTGGGGAAGGCTCGGCCTCCGGCGCTGCGGCCGTCGCGGCGCTCCCCGGCGGCCCTCTGCTTCGTCTCGCGCTTCTCCTTCTCTGGGTGGGTGGAGTGGCGTGGCCTGGAGCTTGGCCGGCCGTGGCTGCGGCGTAGGCGTGCGGGTGCTTAGGCGCCAGATTTGGTCCGCGCCCGATCTGGCCCGCCGGCTGCTGTTGGCGGCGAGGAAGGGATCTGGCGTGGTGGTGATGCCCCATAGCGCCGCCGCCGCACCCCTCGCCTCCCCTCCCTATGCTGCCGCCTAAGGGCCTCCCAATGATGCGATTTTGGTGGTCGGGATCCAGATCGGGGGAAACCCGGGTCGGCTACGGCCGGCCGCGACGACGACGACGCCTGCGGGCGCCGATTTCTTCATGGAGACGTCTGTCAAGGTCTGCCCTTCCACTCCCCACCACCTAGCTTCTCGGGTGAAAACCTAACTCCGGTGGGCGGCGGCGGCGTCTTTGGCGCCGTGACCTTCTTGAAGGCGCCGCCTTGAGGGCTGGGTGGTGGCGGGCGCTGTTTGGGGTGGGTAACAGCTGCTGACGGCGTGCCCTTCTTCGCCCAAGCCTCCGCTTTTCCTCCGACGCGTCCAGGTTCTCCTGGGGGTGCCGTTTTGGAGTAAGCGTTGGCTGGGGGGAGGGTGGAGCGGTGCTCCGTCTCACTCATTGATGGCGGCGGATGTCGGCGGCGTGGCGCTGTGGAGGCTCGACGTCCGATGCACGGAGATGGACTCGCGCAGGAGGAGGTTGCTGTTTGGCGTCATGGTGGCGTCAATGGCGGAGTGGCCAGACATGGTAGATGCCTCAATTTGATCTGAAGACGGACCTGTGGAAGATGGCGGCGACGACACACGAGTGCGTCTGACCGGATTACGCCCCAGACCAGGTATGTGGCTCGGCTGGGGCTTCCGAATGTGTTTCGGCTTCCGGCTATTGATGTTAGGATTACGTGAGTGGTCTGGGTAGTGGCCCGGCTAGCTCTCTTTCATCATATTGGATAGGAGTAGTGGCATATGTTGCCAAGATGGTGGATTCAGGCACATTGGTGTAATACTTTGTATGGTCATCGTGAATAATCAATAAAGTGGCCGTATGCATCTTCCAAATGCAGAGGCCGGGGGTCATCCTCCTTTTCTAAAAAAAAATATAATATGGCGCTGCACTTTGTCTGGCTAAAAACGTCAAGCTAATCATGCTGTTGTTAGGTGACTTGAAACCACTCCGTTGGTGTCGTGGGATGCACACAACATGAAACTACTTCCTCTGTTCATTTTTATAAGACGTTTTAGACAATTTAGACAGTGCCCAAAATAGTTCAAAGCTAGCTGTCCAAAACGTCTTATAATAATGAACGGAGGGAGTACTATAAATAAAGTTCAATAATAATTACTTTACTGTGCTAGAAAAATATTAGCGATCTAAAACACATCTTATATTTACTTGCAGAGTGAGTATTTCAAAACTCTCGGGCATCACAGTTCATTTTGTCACGCGGTTACCCAGTTGATCTTCCTCCCACCGATTTAATTTAGACATCCGGTGTTTATAATAATGGACAGTCTATAAAATGGTCTACTTTTAGTATAATCATTTTCTTTTTTTTTTGCGGCGAAGTATAATCATTATATGTGAGTACACATCATAGACGCTATATATACAACCTCAAAAGGCATAAACGTATGTACAAAGCGTTTAGAATAGTAGTCTAAACGCTCTTATATATTTTTTACAGAGGGAGTAACTTGTTTCATCCCCATCACCCAAATTCCTATGTGGCAGCTTTTACAAAAGGTTGAACCTCAAAGAAAATACCTTTTTAAAACCTGAAACCGTAGAACAATAGTTTTACGGTATTTTTCATTTCCCTTAGATAAAATATGTACAAAGCAAGTAAACAATATACAAGCAGATATGAATCTGCATCTACCAAATTCCAGTTTTTTCTAACATGAATAACTGAAGTTCAGAGTTCAATTAGCCAAATCAGGGAAGCAATCCACTGACTGAGAGAGCTCAGAGTTCAGAGTTCAACTAGTCAAATCAGGGAAGCAATCACATGAATAACTAAAGTTCAGAGTTCAACCCAATTCTTGACTTTGGCCCCCTATGCTTGACCAACAGCGGATCCTGTTTGGGCTCAATCCTCCAGGAAAGAAGGCTTGGCAATTCATTTCTGAAAAAATCCTCATTTCTCTGCATCCATATATTCCAGCAGCCCGAGATAGCGATGTCCATGGCGATTGTCTGAAGAAATTGAGAACCAACATTTTCGAGCAAAAGTGCAGTCCATAGCAGATGCTGCAATGACACTGACCGCCCAAATGAATTTTCCAGGGTCAAGGTAAGGACTAGGGACGGTTTAATCAAGCACAAACTTGCCTGAAACTGGGGTTCAGAGATCGATCATCAATTCATCGTGGATCAGATCCATTTTCGAAGAACAAAATGCCTGATCAGCGTTCAGCGCCAGGCAAATAACTAAAGCCTGATCCCATCGCAACTCCATTTAGTTTCCTGCTAGCTCGCTGCGGGGAGATCGGACGTAGTACCTCCCGCTAAGGATCCCCCGGTCGATCGGGGCCTGCACTGCAGTCACATGCGTACGCCACGCCCGTAATCTCCATCCAGTTAAGATGGGAATCCGGTCACAGCAAGCGGAACAAGAGCAATTAAGCTCCACGCAGCTGTCACTACGCAGTACCGTGGTACGAGCAGAGCCCAGTACTTAGCATCAGTACCTATTGCCTGCCTGCTGCCGAACTTGATGATAATCCTAATTAAACTGCTCGTACATGCTGATTTCCTGTAGCATATGCCATTACTGTTTAAAGCCGGTTCGCATGTAGTACTGGCTACGTACGATCTGCAAGACCTATGGAGACTGGCCAACGGTGCAGCTGGTCTTGAATGCCTTGCTTGGCAATGATGTGACACTAGTACAGTCGGATATGCTCGATCAGCTCGCTCTTCAGTACGCATTGAGGTGTTTGCTTTTTATGTGTTTGGTTAAAAGAAGCCCGCTTTCCCCTCTAGCATGGCTACTACGGTAAAGCCTTCTTCCACTCGATCTCTGCCGGTTAACCAGGGGAGGTAGAAAAATCAAAATCTTAGGGGTGTCGAAGTCTGGTTCCTCCTGCATCCACCGATGGCACGCCGTGAGCATAACTCAATGTCGGCTCTGGGCATCCGCCTCCGCGGAGCAAACTTTTTCTAACCCAGGTGCTTATACACTCCGCGGAGCAAACTTTTTCTAACCCAGGAGCTTGTATAAGCAGCAGCCGGAAAGTCGTCGATGTAGGCCAGGAGATGCCGACGGACGGCTGTAAGACTTAGGGTTTGGGAAACTTCACGACACCCTTAACGGGTGTGGCTATCTCATATATATAAGGGGTACACAAAGGTGTACAGTACAATATACAAGACCTATACAGAGACTATGTATAAATATAGTCTAACACCCTCCCTCAATCTTAACTATGCCCTGAAGTACAAAGTATCTTAAGATTGCGCCTGCAGCCTACAAACTGAGGTTGTGGAAGAGGCTTCGTGAAGATGTCAGTAAGTTGATCTTTTGAAGAGATGAACTTGATGTGGAGTAGCTTCTGTGCAAC